TATTACAATTTAGGGTATCAGCTTGACAATGTCCAGAGTAATCTCAGGAATTATTGTTTTAAATTCATGGTTTCGGCAGCCCAGACAGAGTTTGTTTCCTGCTATCAGGGTACATTCTGAGATGGTCTTCTACGACTTGCAGCAGGAATTGCAGCTGCGTTTCATCGCGTGTTAAAAATCCACTGTATTCTTGAATGAGGCCCACTCCACGTTCAGCATGGTCATTTACAACTTTTAAAGACTCGACTGTTTCTGCAGCCGACTTGTAGTCATCTCTGTCTTTCCACAAGTCCGGATCAATTATTAGAAATCTATATGGCATTTCCATTATTCGGAGCAGATTCATTGACTTTGCTGTGACAAAATCTTCTAAGTTCTTGTTCCCGAATGAATCAAGATCAACAGTGATTCGCTTCGAATGATCCTGATCTTAGTCTTCTTCATTTTGTGTTGCACTCACCATCAGTCTCTTGGTTGATGAACTGACCCGACTGTCGAAGAAAGCCAAGCTAACAAGTTCCTGTGACAAATACCACAAGTGATTGGAAAACTTGCGTGATGTTGACTTCGAGTTTGCTGAATAGATTGATGAATATTCAATCAGTGACTTCAGCAGCAGCAGATCATTATAAGGAGCACCTGATGCTTGAGGTGCAGATATCCAGGCTTTCAGGTAGACACGTACTGTGAATACACACACGTCACGTAATCCTCTCCCTTCAGCAGGAGTCAATTTAAATTGAGCCTTAAACATCCAGATCTTGAGACTGTATATGACTTTGGACATCCAGCGGGCATGGTGCATTGCTCCAGGTGACATGAATCGCACACCTTTGGCAGGAGCAGCACCAAGAAAAATAATCACAAGTTCCAAAAATTCTTTATAATCATCCCTCGACTGACTCTGTTCAAGATGCTTATTGGCATAATCAATAGTGTCTTGCTTTATGTCAGCCATGAGTTCAACATCATCAGTTGCAATCCCTGGCTCATAATTAGCCGTGTCTATAAAACCCCAGCATTGCTGGAAACGTTTGAATAGTGGAACTTCTGGACACGATGTTGCCCCCATACACACTTGGAACACTGCACCATTTATCAGTTCCATAATGTGATGCCTACAAGCCAGTGATTAGAGCTCTTTCTCAAGTTTCTGTTCTAGGAGGACACAGGCACCAGCAAGCCGACCAGTATTTGAGCTGGTCGTGTCAAAACACATTGCACGGATGCTGTCGGCTATGCCCCAGTTTTCAATGGCTCCAAAGACGGCAGCAGCCTGTGCCTCGCCTGTTCCAGAAGGAAGCTTGGCAACTGTGAGTAGCTAAGAGACTCCTTTTCCTGAAACCAATACGGGCAGGCCATCAACTTTCTCTTTTCCAAGTAGATCAGGAATCAGTTTGCCGTCCCAGTGAACAACAAGAGGAACGTTATCCCAAAACTCAGCTTTTATATTTGCAGATCTCTGGACTCTATGTTCCAATCTGTGTCGGCGAATTGAGTCTCTGTTAAGAGCAAATTCATTAATACTCTGTCCTAAGCTTTTGGCAGTTTCTGCTATAACAAAAACAGCCTTGCGGTCTGACATTTTTGTTCGATCTAGAGCTGCAGCGAGTTCTGGAGTAACAACAGTTTTTCGTCCCCTCTTTCTTTTAGGTGTCTGAAAAGTGGTGCCTTCAACAGCTCCCTCATCTGCATTGTCACTAGTTTCAGTCTCTTCAACATCCTCTGCTGTACTGTTTTCAGATTCAGAACTAGATGATTTCAGTTCAGCTGTAGAAACGGCTAGTTGGTTCATTTGCTCCATTCACTGTTGCCTGGCAAACATTTGCTCCCTTCTTTTGGAAGCCCTTTTTTCCTTAGCAGCAAGTGTTTCATCTACTCCAGCCATTGACCCCCTTCTTCCCTTTTCTCGCTGGGCTACTAAAAAATCCTTGTCTTCTTGTAAAACTGATGTATTGGTCAGGGCATTGGCGTGAGCGACATCAAAGAGATCGTCAAGTCTTAATACAAAAGCCAACTCTCTCCCAAGTTGAGATGTTGTTTTTCGCGCTTTGTTCTTGTTAAGAAGACGCCATTCTTCAAATGTCTGTTCAAGCTTCGTTTGGCAGTTCTGATGATCTCTCATCGGGATTCTAGCTTTTTGCCAAAACTTTGTTATTTCCGTGATGGTAACAGCCGATGATTGTCTTATAGTCTCCTTTAATTCGAGATGGTGATACAAGAAAAATCCAAGCGCCATACGTAATGATGGCAGCTTGCTACCTGTTAATTCAGTAATAGTTTCGCCAAGTAGATACAATTCAGTTTGAGATCTGGTTAGTTTTGCCCGAGATGACATTTTCAATAATTCAGAATTGAATATTTATTTTAAATAAATATAAAAATGCATGGGAAAAATTTGACCATTTGAAGTCAGAAATTTTAACATGTATTGTATGGTTTATTTAATTATTTTTAAAAATATATTAAATATTACATATAATTTATGTTCATTTATTTATCTCATCATCATCGCCACATTCATCAGCATTATCAGTTTAACGTCCATATTATTATATAGAATTAATTAATTATTAATATATTTACTATTTACAATTTTACACTCATAAGACACAAAGAGTTAAGGTATTTTAATATTTCAATCTTTTAATTTACCAATTGATGAGAATCAGGTATTGGAGTGAAGAAAGTCAACACCAATATTATAGAAAACTTCTTTAAATTTAAAATCAAAAAAATTTATTTAAACAATATTTCAACTTAAATTGCCATTTATATTTTAATAACTAAAACAATGCCTCTAATTAGTAAATAAAATAAGCATACAGTGTTGCTTAGTCAGCAACTCAGCATTGCAGTAAACAAGTCTTTTTCGCTAGTGATCCTGTCTGTCTGGGATTATGTTTTGATTTATGTAGAAATTACACAGTCAGCAAAAAATTGAATCTGGGTTATTTCCATTTGCCATGATTGCATTGGTTGGTCAATGATCAAATATGATAGTATAGACCGTAATTGTGGAGTATATGATGATTTAGGAAAGTGCAATTTAGCTTTGTAGTTGAAATTAAGTTCTTAATTTATATTGAGAATTATTCTGGTATAAGTAATAATATTATGTAAAAATCAAATGTAGCCAAACCGCAGCTGTTGAGTATCCAAAACTTTATTATCATTGAGCTACCCCTAAATATTGTTTAATTGTTCTCATATTTTGCCTGAATTATTTTTTCATATATAGGAAAAAAAATGAGAGGGTTAGAAGATCATATTTCAAAAGTTCAAAAATAAGCTCCACCCTAATATATATATATATATATATATATATATATATATATATATATATATATATATATATATATATATATATATATATATATATATATTATATATACATATATATGTATATATATATATATATATATATATATATATATATATATATATATATATTATATATATATATATATATATATATATATATATATATATATATATATACATATATATATATATATATATATATATATATATATATATATATATATATATATATATATATATATATATATATATATTAGAATTAGTAACTTAAGTTACACACAAAAAAAAGTTTTATTGTAATTTTTTGTGCAAAGCATCTGATCTGTTACAGGCAACAACGTCAAATGCCGAAGTGTGAGAAAGCTATAGTAACTTCAGAAGTGCATTTTCATTTTGTAGTTTCATTAGATTATTAAGTTTAAATTTTGCTCAATGTATTTGTCCTAGCTATTTTTAAAAGAGTTTGTGCTTTGCTGCATAACAAAATCATTTGGTAGTGAATTCCATATTAAAGCAACTCTATTGTTTAAGAAATGATAACGTTGAGCATAGTTCTTTATGATTTCGCTGGGGTATTGTATATGTTAGTAAGCTCGTTGAGATACTTTCATAGGTTCAATTTTTATTAAGAAAAAGTTGTTTTTATGACATATATAAAATATGACTCATTATTAGCCATAAAATATATAATTTACCCTAACGTGCAGTTATTTTATAGAAGTATATATTAACTTAGCACTTTATTTTATGTCTGAAACTTTAATAACTGTTTTTTTTTTGACTATATTTTTTTTTAGCCAAGGCTTCTGAATGAAATAAGGTTACAAGTTGCCAAAGTTCTTAACAAAGAACTTCACGATTTGATGGATAGAATAGCTAAAAAATTATGTAACTAGTTATGTCCAAGTATAAAAACGAACTAGTAAATGGGATTTTTAGCAAAAAATGAGTGCGAAATTGAAATCTTTGAAAAAAGATAATGTTTAATAATTGAATAACAATAACTTTAAAAAAAAAATAAAGTAAAAGTTAAGAAAAGGTTTTCAATTCCTAATAGTAATTGCATATGACATCATATTCTTTATGCAATCCTTGGAATTAAGGCCTGCATTTGGCAATGCGGACCTAGCTACCAATATAAAAGTGACTTAGATTGTTCAGTTTTTTAAAATTGGAATATCCCCAGCAATTTTAAAAAGGTCAGGGTATGTTCCAAATTTAAAAAATCTATTAGTTATAGCCTTTAATGGATGACTTTGTTCTTTTGATGCTAAGATAAGCATATTTGTCGAGATGCTGTTGGGACCTGTGCTTTCTTTTGGATTCATTGTGAATAATCTTTAACTTCTTGTGGTATAACAGATATTATAAAAAAGGAGATTGAATTATGGTTTGTAAGCAAGTGGCTAACGTTATGCTAAGAGGGTATGGTCAATGCAATGAAATATTTAAAGAAGTAAAGAAAAAAACTCAGTTTTATAAATAAATTAAATTTATTTAAATTATTTAAAATTATTTAAATTTATTTATATAAAATTATTTAAAATTATTTAAATTAATTATTTAAGGAAATACTAAAAAAATTGTTAAAAAATTTATTGTTTTATTATTTTATAAATTTCTAACTATTACCTTTGTTTAGGTATGATTAAAATTACTTTTTTTAAATATGATACCTTTTACAAGTTTCACAGCAACATTAAAAGTGTTTTCTGAGATATCATAAAAGTCAGACTTCTGTATCATTATCTTTTTTTTAGAAAGAACAAATGAACTAAGTCTTGCAATAAAAACAGTACCAAATGCTCCTTCTCCAATTTTTTTTCCCAAAATAACATCTTCTGGGAATATCTCCCATTCATCAGCTAATAACTCATCACGCCCAATGTATTGCCTAAAAATAAAAAAAAAGACAAATAGTGCTCAATGAATGATATCAGGGCTATATATTTTTTGACAATATTAAATAAAAATAACTTCATAATCTTTACTACTAAAAGTTTCATGCGTTTTGCAATCATCAAATAAAAAATACATTTTTTTTTTCGTTAAAATAAAATCATAATAAACGTCGCGTCGTTCTAAAACAATTTGACAAGGTTAATTTGGGTGTTATTTTTAAGTTTTCTTTTATTTACCATACATACTTTGTTAGGGTGGTTGAGTTTTTCAGCTTTTGGTTTATGAATGAGTGTTTGTGGTTAGATCATCTATTTTACCATTCAACTTCTGCTAGGCCAATACATACTTTTCCTAGAGTAAAACAAGTATTCTATAAAAAATACGTTAATGAAATTTGTACTGTTTTCCAGTCAGAAAATGATGCACATCTTTTTCTCAGATATATAAATAGTAGACATAATTCTATTTCTTTAACTATGGATAAAGAAGTAAATTCAAAAATATCTTTTTTAGTCGTAACTCTACACAAAACTGATTCTTCAGTTACCACTACCGTTTTTCATAAAAAAACATATTCTGGTCTTCATTACAACTTTTAAAGCGTCACTCCATTTTCGTACAGATTTAGTCTAATCCAATGCTTAATCAATAGAATGTTTAAAATTAATAGTACTAAACTTGGGTTTCACTCTAACTCTAGCTGCACCAAATTTGTTAAAAATTCTTGGTATTACCTTAGATTCAACACTCTTTATGGACCAGCACATAAAGAATATTATAAAATCCTGCAATTAACATATTTGTGCTCTTCTTTATATTAGTCCATTTCTTACCAAAACTGCTGCAAAACTGATTACTTGTGGAATTGTAAACTCTTAACATGATTACTGTAATAGCCTTCTATCTGGAACATCTCGAAAAAATCTAAACAAATTTCAATGTATTCAAAATAAGTTAGCTTGTGTTGTTTGTCACTCTCCTTTCCGTTCACAATCAGAAAAGTTGCTACAATCGCTCCATTGAAAACCAATACATCAAAGAATATTCTATAAGATATCTATTATAACTTTTAAACTATATCAACCAAGTCTCCTGCTTGCCATTTCTATCTCTAAAAATTTTAAACTGCGCAGCTACCCAAAACAAGATTGTAAGACAGTTGCCAACTTGTACCTCATCGAGCAAGAACATAGCTCAATGCAAAATCTTTTTACACATCTGTACCACGAACATGAAACAATCTAAGTTAAAAAACACATGGTTCAACATAAATCAAAACATTAAAAAAGAATAAAAACCAAACTTTTCAAAACTACTTACTTGACCTAAACAAATGCTTGTTTTTTAGAGCTTCTGAATCACTTCATTGTATGTATGACTGTTGTTAAACTATAGCACTTTAATCTCTCATTATACCTATTATTATCACTATTATTATTATTATTATTATTATTATTATTATTATTATTATTATTATATTATTATTATATATGTATGAAACTTACTTATATATTTTTTTTGGCGTTTGCGGCACAAACGAGAAAGACGTGTTTATTTTGATTATAACAATTTTACAATAAAAATGGAAATAAATGTTAAAAATATAGAAAAAATTATCACAAGCAAACTAGAAGAACAAAAAAGAAGTATACTAGCAGAAACGGAGAGACTACTCAAAGATCATGAAAAAAACTTCACTTCAATAATAAGTTCGAACTTCAAAATAATAACAGCAAGATTAGACAAAATGGACGCAGAAATAAACAATAACAAGTTAAATATCCGAAAAAATCGAAAATGAAGTTAACGAAATAAAAGTCAGCTTAAATTTTCAAGAAGAAAAATCTAGGGATGAATTTACTCTCATTAAAACAAAATATGAAAATGAAATTATGATGCTAAAAAAGAAATCTATTGACTTAGAGAATCGTTCCAGACGAAACAACTTACGTATCGATGGTGTAAAAGAAACCCCTGAAGAAAACTGGAGTGATTGTGAGAAGGTTGTAAAAGACATTTTTGAAACAAAACTAAATATATTAGGTGAAGTAGTTGTGGAACGAGCGCACAGAGTCGGAACTGTTAAAGATAGAAAAACACCAAGATCGATCGTTTTTAAAGCTATTAAATTATCAGGATAAAAATAAAATATTAAGCTCAGTTAATAAACTTAAAGGATCTGGCATATATATCAACAAAGATTATGCAAAAGAAACGATGCTAGAAAGGAAGAAGCTATGGGAAGAAGTTAAACAGTTACGCAACGAAGGTAAATTTGCAGTTATTAAGTTTGATAAAATTTATTGTCGAGATTTTAGAAAGTAAACACGCGAAGTTTTATTAAGCGAAACGCTATTTTAATTATTTTAAATAATGACGAACTTAACAATAGATTTTGAAAAACTACACTTTAATGTTTTCAAATCGGCAAATGTGTTACTTAATGACTTTTCTGACACTGGTTTGCATTTTTTTAACGAAAAGAATTTTAGCTCATCCTTCTTTGAAATAAAAACTTTTAAAAACGAACTAAAAACCTTAAAGAGTAATTTTACGGGTAATACACATTAACATTAGAAGTATTAATAACAACATGGATAAGCTAAAATATTTTCTTATTGAATGTGATTATCTATTCAGTATGATATGCATAACAGAAACGTGGTGTTCTGACGAATCATGCAGAATAAACTCAATTTAGAAATTCCTAAGTACAAGTTATTATCGTTTGAAAGAAAAACTAACAAAAGGGGAGGTGGAATTATAACTTATATTAGGAATGATCAAATTACTAAAATAAGAGAAGACCTTTCGACCTCAGATGCCGATAGTGAGGTCTTTACAATTGAAATAACTAGTTATAAATCAAAAAACATATTAGTCTCCACATGTTACCGACCGCCTGAAGGTGATTTATTAAAATTTTCCAATCATTTAAAACAAATTTTTATAAAAAACAACAATGAGCAAAAAAAAATATTCTGTATTGGTGATATTAACATAGATTGTTTACAATATGAAAAAAATGCCAATATTAAACTTTTTTTTGACGAAATGCTTCAATATTACATCTTCCCAATTATTAATAAACCAACCCGAGTAACTCCAACTTCAATCACTGCAATAGACAATATATTAACTAATTCAATCTTTGATACTTCTCTAAAGGCAGGAATAATAAAGACAGACATTTCTGATCATTTCCCTGTTTTCTTCTCTTTGACACAAGATATAAAATCTATAAATAGTTGTAAAATAAAAATTTATAAAAGGAAAATCAACAAATTTGCTATTCAACAATTTAAAGACTCACTATCGGCAGAACAATGGGACAAGGTATACCAAGAATGCAACCTTGGGAACACAAACTCTGCTTATAATTACTTTGAAAAAATTTTCCTAAAAAACTATAATATGCATTTCCCAATTAAAGAAAAATTAATAAAAGAAAAATATTTAAAATGTCCTTGGATCACCAAAGGTATTAAAAAATCCTCCAAAAAAAACAAAAACTTTATATCAAATACTTAAAAAATAGAAGTGAGGCAAACCTAAATGTTTACAAACAGTATAAAAACTTGTTTGAAAAAATTAAAAAAAATTCGAAGAAAAACTTTTACTCAAATAAAATAAAAAACTCAAATGGTAATATTAAAAAAACTTGGGATATCATAAAAGAAATAATTGGGACTAAACACTGCAAATCAAATTGTTTACCTGCACAAATTGTCATAGATAATAATGAATATAACGATTATAATGTAATTTCAGAAAAATTTAACAGTTTTTTTGTCAACATAGGCCCAAATCTAGCTTCAAAAATCCACTGTCCAAACAACTCATTTGAAACTTACTTAACTAGTGTCAACAGCGAACTAATATTTAAAGAACTAAAAATTGACGAATTCGAAAATGCAATAAACTCTATTAAAATAAACAAGTCTCCTGGTGTAGATGACATTAGCAGTAATATTGTTGCTAATGTCTCTTCGCAGATACGCAAACCTATTTTTGAAATATTCAAATCATCAATTAAAACTGGAACTGTACCAGATAAATTAAAAGTAGCTAAAATTATACCTATTTTTAAAACCGGTGAAACATTTCAAATAAATAATTACAGACCAATTTCTATTCTTCCAATTTTTTCTAAAATACTTGAACGAATAATCTACAATAGACTATATGAATATCTAATTCAAAACAAACTCTTAGATAAAAAACAATTCGGTTTTCAATCACAACACTCGACAGAACATGCAGTTTTAGATATAGTTAATAGCATAAGTGATTCTTTTAATAAAAAGCAATTTGTATTAGGAACTTTTATAGACCTATCCAAAGCATTTGACACAATTAATCATGATATCCTACTTAAAAAAATGGAAAAATACGGAATAAAAAATACTACCCTAGATTGGTTTAAAAGTTATTTATGCAACAGACAACAATGCGTTATTTCGAACGATAATAAATATTCAAATTTACTAGAAATTAAATGCGGAGTTCCCCAAGGTTCCATTCTTGGCCCTCTTTTATTTTTAATTTATATTAACGATCTTCCACAATCCCTAAAAAAACTTGATGCTGTAATGTTTGCTGATGACACAAATTTGTTTTATTCATCAGCATCAATTGAAAATCTCTTTGAATCTGTGAACGATGACCTTGAGAATCTAAACACCTGGTTTAAAGTAAATAAATTATCTTTAAATACAGAAAAAACAAAATACATCTTGTTTCATTCCAACCATCAAAAAAATAATATACCAAGAATGCTACCATTACTAAAAATTGATAACATAAATATCGAAAGAACTAAAAAACCGTTAAATTTCTTGGGATAATTATTGACGAAACGATTTCTTGGAAAGCCCATATAAATACAATAAATACAAAAATATCAAAAAGTATCGGCATACTCTACAAAGTCAAACCTTTACTTTCCCAGAAAAATCTTAAAAGTCTCTACTTTTCTTATATACAAAGTTATTTAACATATGCTAATATTGCCTGGGGAAGTACAAATAAATCTAAACTAAATTCTCTATATGTACACCAGAAACACGCATCAAGATTGATTTATAATAAAAAAAAATTCACTCATGCCGATCCTTTACTTAAAAACTTGAATGCGTTAAATGTCTATCAAATTAACATCTACCAAAATATTTTATTTATGCTCAAATATATGTCCCATCTCATTTTACTAATAACTTTTTTCAAACCTACGCCAACAGATACAGTACAAGAGGAACAGGAAATTTCACCCTGCCTATTAAAAAAACAAAATTTTCAAGATTTTCAATTGCATACCGTGGCCCCTACTTATACAACAAAATAATATCTCAAAATATAGAACTTACTAAATTAGATAATCTTACTATCCTTAAAAAAAAATTAAAAGATCTCATAATTAACAAAACCAATTTTATCGATATGTATTAAATGTAAAAGAAAATGAATATAATAAATGTAACAAGAATAATTTAAATTTTAAAAAATAAATAAAATAAAAATAATAATAATAATAATAATAATAAATATAGTAGCAACTATACATAGTAAAATATTACTGAAGAGTGGACCTCAAAGTTAATGTGTGTTTTGTGAAATTGCTCTTTAAATTTTTTGTTCATTTTGCATTTTAAAGGTTCTCGATGAAAAGACTTCTCCTAGTCTTCTGCGAGTTTCCTTACAACAACATAGCATTATTATGATATATTAATATATTTTTTCAACGATAACCACAAGCAAGTCCCTAGTAGCCCTGTGGTGCGACGGACTTGCGTATATTTTTTAAATGCATGGGTTAATAGCCAGCACTTTATATTATAAACCACGATTTTTTACTTCTTATTTTTTTTATATATTTTTTTTTTTTTTATTCTTCTCTTAACATTTCTAACCCACTGTAATACGCCAAGCGTGAAACAGCATTGTTAACGCTCTTTAGATATTGTAAATATGTGTGGTGGACATTTATATAAACTGGAGTCATGTAAATATTTGTTCTTGAAATATATAATAATTGTATATATATATATATATACATATTTAAAAAAATATATATACAAACATATATATATATATATATATATATATATATATATATATATATATATATATATATATATATATATATGTATATATATATATATATATGTATGCCTATAAACATATATAATTATATAAGCATATAAACAGATATATATATATATATATATATATATATATATGCATCTATATATGCATATATATATATATATATATATATATATATATATATATATATATATATATATGTATATATATATATATATATGCATGTATATATATTAGTATATTTATTTTATAAGTATATGTATAAATATAAATATATATAAACATATATAAATATATATATATATATATATATATATATATATATATATATATATATATATATATATATATATATATATATATATATATATATATATATATATATATATATATATATATAACAGTTGGGCTGAAAAGTTCGTATCGTTTAATAGAAACACACATTATTTTTTCAAAATTCGGTTTTATTATTCAACATAGTTTCCATCAGAGGCGATACAGCGATTATAGCGATCTTCCAACTTTTCGATACCATTTTTGTAGTACGATTTGTCCTTTGCTTCGAAACAAGACAAGCCCCAATTTCCTGTTTAAAACATCTTTTTTAGTTAAAACACAGAGAAATAATTATTGCGAATCTCATTTTTTAAGTATTTAGACAGAAATCAAGCCAAACAAAAGCAGCTTGCATAATATATGTTAAATTATCCAGTGTAACCAAGCTAGTTCTGCATTTTTTGTTAACAGTTATAGTCAAAGTATCAGACGGGAACCCCAAAACTAAAATTAAGACTGTCTTTCTGAATGTTATTAATGTTGCTTCATTGTACAAGAATTTTTTTTGCCAAAATCAGGATATTGCTGCCTGTGATTTTCAACGCCCTGCAGCAACCATTCTCTTTGTTCAGGATCACTGGTTATGATGGTGGCAAATTCTGAAATCAGTTTAACTCATCTTTCTGCGGTATCATTTACAACTTTTACTGTACAAATTTTTCAGCTTCTTTGTATCCTGGTTGCTCTCTCCACTGCTCAATTGGTTTAGCAAGCCAATCTGTATTGATGCCAAGAATGCTGAACAATGAGTAAGATTCAGGTCCCAGAATATTTGACAAACCTGTTTGACGAGTGATTTGACGAAAGCAAATGGAACTACCTCTTCTGTCAAA